TACCTGATTTAGGTTTTGGTCATTTTATGCTATTTTTCTTCATTGGTTTTCTGAAGAAATTTCTTTGGAACAATTAATGGGTTTTTAGCATTTTAGATTTTAGTGTTTAAGTTTGTTGTGTGTGAACTCATTTTTTGTCAGCTGTAAAGTCTTCTCTGTTTCATACATATTTTCAGATAGTCGCAGAGGACCAGTTTTGTGGCCACCAAGGAAATGACATGTACGATGAAGAAAAAGTGAAATACACTGTATTCAAAGTATTGAAGAACTCCTCGCTTGCCGAGTTTGTTCAGAACCTCTCTCAGACCATGGTGCGTGCCAGTCCTGTTGACATTTCCCACCCTGGCTCCCGAGTTCCACCTTATTTCTGTGTCACTAGAAAAGACAAGCTGCCCTTAGGGGTAGGTGCTGTATCCAGCCACTGGCTAACAGTGAGAAGTGTGACCCAGCAACATGTCCTGCCTGAGAAAGGAGTGCAAGAAAACCACTGAGCTGACTCCAGCACAGGATTTCACAGACTCGTTTCCACCTCTTGCTCATCTCCCACCCTACTTCTTGCACCCCTGCCTCCTCTTTATTTGTACAAAATGGGCACTTGATCCTGAAGCATAGGTCACAGTTTGTCCAAATCAACCGGGAAAGAATTAGAATTCTTTTTGTTACAGTCAGTCTTTACGTTCGTTGACCAAATGCGTGTGGGGGATGGTGGGGGGTTTGCAATGTAGAGGACTAAAATAAGAGCTTGTTTTTGTTTTAATCTATTCTTAATATTATATTTTTTTTCAGGGATTTCCACAAGATCAAATTCGATTGTGGCCCATGCAAGCAAGGAGTAATGGAACAAAACGACCAGCAATGTTAGATAATGAAGCTGACGGCAATAAAACAGTAAATATTGTTAATAGGGTATCTGGTTTGGAACTGTGCAGAAGGCGTTAGTCCTCTGCAGTTAGTGCAGCTTGTTTCCCTTTTGGTCCACTTAACTAGAATTGGACGTTTTCTTCAGTACTTGACTGTAGTTTTTCGCTCTGTCACCTAAGTCATTAGACTCTTCTAAAATCAGCGTCTCTTTTGGAAATAGATGATTGAGCTCAGTGATAATGAAAACCCTTGGACAATATTCCTGGAAACAGTCGATCCCGAGCTGGCTGCTAGTGGAGCGACCTTACCCAAGTTTGATAAAGATCGTAAGTGCCCACGAGACGCCTGCCTGCACTTAGAGCAGTAGCGTTGGATCCTGGATTGTTGTTCTAAACACACAGGGTTAAGTCTTCTTCCCTTGCAGAAAGATCTGTTGATCTGTTCTACAGATACTCACTAGACTTCGCGATGAAGTCAAATACGAGTGACTTGGCTGCGAGTTTCCTGTGAGGCCTGGAGACAGTAGCAGCCGCGTGGGGCCGTCCCATTCTGTCTTCGGTCTCAGCCGCTGTGCTGTGCTAATCGCATTGGTCAGATCATCAAGAGCAGGGTTGCAAAACCATTGTCTGTTGGGGGCCAAATAGGCAGTATCTCAGGCGTTTCAGGCCATTCGGTCTGTACTAAGGTGGCCACAAAGAATATGTAAATGAATGGGCTGTCTGTCTTCCATTACAGCTTTATCAACAAACAGGTGGGTCAGAATTTGCTGACCCTTGCTATAAAATGACAGATGTTTATTGCTGTGAGTGGTTACTTCTGGCAAAGACACAAGACCATGAGCAGTCTTCCCGTGGCAACACTATTCCAGCCAGTCAGTGCCAGGTCTCAGACCTAGGAATTCTAAGTTTGCTGCACTCGGTACTATCTTGACTGCCTAAATGTAGTGGGTTTCCATGGGTTTGATGTTTGGAAACTCACTGTGGTTATAGCCTCAGCTTTGTGAATAAGCCTCATCTGATATAACTTTTAGGTACCTTAAGCTGTCATTTCATTTGTCACTGGGCTACTCAGCTTACTGGTTTTCTTTTCTTTCTTTCTTTCTTTTTTTTTTTTTTTTTCTTTAAAGCATTGTACTGAGTGTTTGGATCTTGTTTGTTAATCTTGTAGATGATGTAATGTTATTTTTGAAGATGTATGATCCCAAAACACGGAGTTTGAATTACTGTGGGCATATCTACACACCAATATCCTGTAAAATACGTAAGTCCTTCATGCACTTAGCTCCTGAGTTGACTTTGCTTTGTACATTACAGCTATATATTTGAAATATCTTCTTTCTCCTAGGTGACTTGCTCCCAGTTATGTGTGACAGAGCAGGATTTATTCAAGATACTAGCCTTATCCTCTATGAGGTTTGGATGGTTTATTTTTCCATAATCAGTATATTCTTAGTTGTTTCTGGAGGGTTTGGTTTGTTGTTTTTACCCCGAATTTGTTAACTGTGTTAGGTCTGCCAGGTAACTCAGGGCCTCAGATGATCTTGAGAATGACATTTTTAGATTTGTAATTTTGTACCTGTTTTATAATCAGTGATTATTACATATTTGTGGATTTATTTAGCTTTTTCCGTTAACATTTTAACTTACAACGTGAATAGACTTGGGTGTAAAGAAAATACTTGGGTACATGGAAGACTATCGGGCCATATTAAATGTTAGACAAACTTTGCAATATAACCATTTTATGTCTTCCACTGTAGGAAGTTAAACCGAATTTAACAGAGAGAATTCAGGATTATGATGTTTCTCTTGATAAAGCCCTTGATGAACTAATGGATGGTGACATCATAGTATTTCAGAAGTAGGTACTTTGTGAAAGATTGTATTGCTTTGTACTAATTTCAGGATTTTTTTTTTTAAGTTGTAGAACCAAGAAACACTTGTACCTAGATCCTGAACCATGTTTTGTTTTGTTTTGTTTTGTTACGTTTTGAATGTAACTGTTGACAGGCTTTCTCTGGGTTTTGGACTTAGGTGTGGTGAACATGATCATCTCATAAAGCTCTTCTCAATTCCTTAAAATGTCTGAAGTGCACGTTGCAGCTGTTAGCAGAGTGGGACCAGTTGCTTTCCTTCCCCTAAAATTTATGAAATTGAAACTCCTTAGAATGTACCTACTTGGGTAATTCATTTCAATCTGCCTTCATGTAAACCAGCCAGTCTTTGGTCTTAGACACTCAGTGTCTGAAAGAGGCTTGATGGCACGTGAAAACCGTAATTGACTGACTGTCAGAGACTGGGCTCCACCACCTGGCTGGCCTGTGGACAAGACACTGCGTCCAAATCTGCTCCTAATAGAGGTGGCGAAGGTGGTGTTACCTCAGGGGGTTTTGTTTTGTGCTGGGATGAGAGTGTCAATCCGCCAGGTTGTGCCTGGCTCAGTGGATCCCAATGCATACTTGTCTCGCTCACAGAGGGAGCTCAGGCAGACGCCTGGCCCCCTAAAAGGGCAACCTGAGTTTATCTTGCAAGAGAGCCTGTTGGTGTCACTGTTGTGTAAAAGATGATGCCATTTTTACCAGCTACCCCCTGCCATGGACTTTGATTCAGACTGCAAACTTTCTCCCCCCACCAGGGATGACCCTGAAAATGATAACAGTGAATTACCCACCGCAAAGGAATATTTCCGAGATCTCTACCACCGCGTTGATGTCATTTTCTGTGATAAAACAATCCCTAATGATCCTGGATTTGTGGTTACGTTATCAAATAGAATGAATTATTTTCAGGTATTTAATAAATGCTCCTTTCCTCTTAAGATTCCACTCCAGAAAGACCAATTTCTTTTTTAAAATGCTTATTGAAGAAGCTGTCTCATGGTTTTGGTTCAGAAGGGGTTGTGATCCCATTGCCCGAGGAAATCTCGCACTGAAGTGGATTCAGGCTGATATTGCCATGGGAGCTAGAATAATCGTCATCAGAAAATAAACAACTGTAGACCTCACCATTAACAGTGAAAAGCCTTTTCAAAGTTACCTTTATCCGATATGCTACTCCCATGGTGATATATTAAGGAATATAGTTTATTCCTGTTGAATAAATTTCTAGGGAATTTAAATTCAGGCTGCTCATAGCACATTTTAAGTAATTAATCACGGAGTTTATGAGCAAGTTTCCATTTTTTCCCCAAAATGTGAACCTTCCTTTTCTGTGTCCCAGGTTGCAAAGACAGTTGCACAGAGGCTCAACACAGATCCAATGTTGCTTCAGTTTTTCAAGTCTCAAGGGTAAGTCACATGCACAGACACTTGTTTGGTCTTTACTGCATGCTTTCCACAGTTCATTGAAACATCGTGGAACTAATTTTAATAATTAGCTCGCCATTTCACCTGACATGCCATTTCTTGCTTAGTTTCAGAATTGTCACCACTCACAGCTTGACCACATATTTACTCTGTTATGTTTAAATAATTGACAGCCTCATCCAAAGCCAGACTGACTTTAGATACATCCACAGTGCATCTCCCATGTGTCCAGCTGGTCAGTCTTGCCAGGCTGCTGTGTGTTTTGTCACTATTGTAGGGAGTGTTCAAGTGTGACAGCGAGTGGGACTTAGTTCTCGGGAAATAGGAGTATTAAGTTCAACCCCATGCTAGGTCCAAATTTGAAGTCCAGGTGTAAGGCCAGGGGTTTGCTTTTATGCTCACTCACAGATATGTGTTTTTAGGCAAATAAACAAGTCATTTATTTATATGCTGTTTTCTTGTGTAGTTATAGGGATGGCCCAGGTAATCCTCTTAGACATAATTATGAAGGTACTTTAAGAGATCTTCTACAATTCTTCAAGCCTAGACAACCTAAGAAACTTTACTATCAGCAGGTATGAGTCCAAATTAATGTAACTATGGGTAATAAAGAGAAGACTTGGGTTTTTGGTGACGGTATCTGACATGAATCTTTCTTTTCTTAATAGCTTAAGATGAAAATCACAGACTTTGAGAACAGGCGAAGTTTTAAATGTATATGGTTAAACAGCCAGTTTAGGGAAGAGGTGAGTTTTTTTGAATAGTACGAATTTTCATTTTTATTGGAACTTGCTTATTGTTTCTATCTATCCCCAGACGTTGAAAAACTAAGACAACCAAAGAAAACTCTATAAACAATAGCACATGCTGGGGGCTGGGGGTGGCCTGGGCCAGAGTCTCTATTGCTTCCTGGCAAGACCTCCTGAGGCCTTTGGAGTGCATCACATGTTGAGCTAAGGAACTGGTTCAGCAGCCAGCCCTTCCCTCCCAGGTCCCACTGTGATGTTTATACATTGCCACTTGGCCTAGGGGGAGGATCCTTCTCCGACTCTTCCTGCCTCAACCTGGTCTCAGTGAGTCCAGCTGGCCTGTGAATGGAGGAGGCATTGTCTCTGCTGTGCGCTTACTCTCCAGACTGCCAGTACAGGCGGCTCCAGTGTCCCATGCTTGCTCCAAACAGAGAAGAGACACTCAGCCACATTTTAGGTGTTTTGTTTTGTTGTTGTTTTTTTTTTTTTTTTTTTTTTGAGGCAGGGTCTTGCTCTTGTCATTCAGGCTGGAGTGCACTGGCACTGTCACAGTCCACGACAGCTTAGACCTCCTGGGCTCACGTGATCCTCCTGCCTCAGCCTCCCAAGTAGCTGGGATTGCAGTTGTATGCCACCACGCTTGGCTTCTTTTTTTTTTATATGTGTATGTATATATATATAAATTTTTTTCTTTCCTTTTCTTTTTTTTTTTTTTTTTTTTTTTTAAAGAGACAGGGCCTTGATATATTGCCCAGACTGATCTTGAGCTCCTGGGCTCAAGCATCCTTTTGCCTCGGCCTCCCAACATGTTGGCATTACAGGCATTAGGTGACTCTTCAGAAAAGTCTGTGTACCTATTTGGATGCCAGATCTCTCACCCTTTCTAGCTCTACCAGCATTGAGGGAAAATTTGAGACATAAATAGTCTCACCTTTGTAGAATTGAGCTCCTTGAAAGCCCAAAGTCAGCCTCTGGTCTTGTATCTGGACCGGCATTCTTTTCTCATTGTGCTGAGAATTGGAGAGGCTCTTGGGTGACCCTTCCGGGGATCATTTCCTGAGAAAGTGTTCTCTGTAAATGACAAGTTTTTGCATGAAGGACCACCTTTGTTAACCTCTGGTCAGTATCTGGTTGGTTCTAGATTAGGGTCAGTATTTTCCCTGTGAGTGAATTCACAGATGAGGGAGTTGGGGTGGGAATGAGAACACAAATATGGCGGCCAGCTGGGGACAGTTGAAAACAGTGATGCAACTTTCTCCTCTCCTCCTTTGTGGTAGAAGGCCTTTTTGGCTCTCTTGAAAGCACTTATTTTATCTTTTCATTGCTTAGGAAATAACACTATATCCAGACAAGCATGGGTGTGTCCGGGACCTGTTAGAAGAATGTAAAAAGGCCGTGGAGCTTGGGGAGAAAGCATCAGGGAAACTTAGGCAAGTATTTTTTGAGCCCAAATGTGGACGGTTAGCAGGGATAGCAGTCATGCCGACCTCTTCAGTTGCGTTGGTGAAAGTTGCCCAGCCAGGATCCATGTGCATCATTGCCAGACTCAGTGGGGTGCGCCCCAAGTTGCAAAGACTGTTACACAGAATCTCAACACAGATCATTGTTGTTCCAGTTGTTCAAGTCTCAAGGGTAACCATCAAGCCGGTGTGGTGCAGGGTTTGTGTGTGTTTTACACTTCAGCCATGTTTCTCATCCTTCCCCTTGTATCTTCTGATAACAGTAGCTGTAGTGAAAAGGTGACATTCCCGTAGAAAAGCCAAACAGAGGGAGGATATTATTCCATTTGAATGATGAATTGAAACTGGAAAGGGTGACTTTTTTTTTTTTTTTTTTTTTTTTTTAAAGATGGGGTTTCACCATATTGGTCAGGCTGGTCTTGAACTCCTGACCTCAGGTGATCCGCCCACCTCAGCCTCCCAAAGTGCTGGGATTATAGGCGTGAGCCACTGCGCCTGGCAAGGGTTACTCTTGATTTTGTTTTTGACAGATCAGGTCACTTCTGATCCCTCTAGCCAGCATTCGGGCTGTAGAAAGAAGTTCCTGAATTGGTTGTTTATGTCAGAGAGGTGATTGTTTATCAGAGAGATGGGCATGATTCTTTACTTTGCCCTGCAGTCGCTTGTGGACAAATGGCCTTTGGGGCCATTTGGTTCCCAAATTGTTTTCTTTACTTCTAATTAAACAATTATTAAACAGTGAGACCTTCATCTGTAATCTAATAAGAGTAAATGAGGAAAACGTCTCAATCCGCCAACTCTGGATTCCTTGTGGGAAAGGTTTACACAATTTTCAGAGGCCCAGTCTGTACATCTTTGTGCTCAAATGTGGCCACTTCCACTGCGTCCAGCTGGGCCCTTTAATCTTGTGCTTCAAGGGGACCTCCTCTGCTTGCTTGGCCCCCAATCCCTATTTCTGATATTTTAGATCCTCTTTGGGGGAGAAAAAAAGGCCGGGTGCGGTGGCTCACACCTGTAGTCCCAGCACTTTGGGAGGCCAAGGCGGGCGGATCACAAGGTCAGGAGTTTTAGACCAGCCTGGCCAACATGATGAAACCCCATCTCTACTAAAAATACAAAAATTAGCTGGGAGTGGTGACAGGTGCCTGTAGTCCCAGCTTCTGAGGAGGCTGAGACGGGAGAATCGCTCGAAACCTGGGAGGTAGAGGTTGCAGTGAGCCAAGACCACGCCACTGCACTCCAGCCTCTGTGACAGAGAGTAAGACTCTGTCTCGGGGAAAAGAAAAAAGAATAAGCATCTTGTAACCTTCTTTCTAGAAAACTGTCTGTGTTAATCATTTTATTTTTAAGCGAATATACTTCACTTTGCCCCATTTTTTTCCCTCTGTTCAGGCTGCTAGAAATTGTAAGCTACAAAATCATTGGTGTCCATCAAGAAGATGAACTATTAGAATGTTTATCTCCTGCAACAAGCCGGACGTTTCGAATAGAGGTGACTGTCCCCAACACTGAGTCCCGTCTGCTGCATACTTAAATGTCACAGTAAATTGTACAAGTAGCTGAGTCTGTGTTTATATTCCGGTAATTGAGGTGTATGATTCCAGGAGTGGACTTGGAGCGTTTTTGCACAGAAATTAGTCCTAAACAGGCCGTACCCTCTGGGTTGGAGTAGCGTGAGAATTTAGACGTGGACATTTTGACCATGTTACTTGGGCTTACAGAACTGTGTCTGTTATCTGTGTCCCCAGGAAATCCCTTTGGACCAGGTGGACATAGACAAAGAGAATGAGATGCTTGTCACAGTGGCACATTTCCACAAAGAGGTCTTCGGAACGTTCGGAATCCCCTTTTTGCTGAGGATACACCAGGTATGATGTTGTGGTTGGCGGAGTGGTTTGCATCAAAACCTGGAGCTTTTGAAAGGCTGCTGTTGCTGAATCCATATGCTCCTGCTGGGGCTGGGCACTGGTTTTGGCAGCTGCCATGTGACATGGCCCCAAGGATGCCAGGAGTGACCATGTGAGCACGTGTATCCTTTGCCGTTCCAGGGCGAGCATTTTCGAGAAGTGATGAAGCGGATCCAGAGCCTGCTGGACATCCAGGAGAAGGAGTTCGAGAAGGTGTGCAGCTGGGGCCTCCTGGGAGCTTTGTGGGCCGCGGGCTCAAGTCTTGCCTGGCACTGCAGCCTAGGCTTTTTTTTGCCAGAGATGAGAGTTTTGCTGATATACAGAAATAACGGAGGAGTTTTGATTTTTTTTCTTTTAGTTTAAATTTGCAATTGTAATGATGGGCCGACACCAGTACATAAATGAAGACGAGTATGAAGTAAATTTGAAAGACTTTGAGCCACAGCCCGGTAAGGGTCCTCCCCTTGGGGGCTGGTGTGGGTTCTGAAGGCTAAGAAGCAAGTGGTCTGGGACTGGGAGGGGATCACCCCGGGGTCAAGTGCGAGCTCTTCTGTCTCCCCTGGGTGACCTGTGGAGCCAGGAGCCATAGCATTTCCTGACCTGCAAGTTCTTAACAGATCTTTACACCTTTGTAATCTGTGAGTTCTTCAAGGAGAGACACTTGGATGTGTGTTCAGGGTGATGGAGTCTTAGGGTTATGAGGCCAGTGGCTCTGAGGTGCAGTCAGGGTGTGGGCCGCCTTAGCTCCAGGTGGGCGTGCAGCTCAGGTCCTGGCTTCCACCCCTGAGAGGTTCCAGGGCTGCTCTGTAGCATCATTTGTTTTCTTCGTCCCCACCAGGTAACATGTCTCATCCTCGGCCTTGGCTAGGGCTCGACCACTTCAACAAAGCCCCAAAGAGGAGTCGCTACACTTACCTTGAAAAGGCCATTAAAATCCATAACTGATTTCCAAGCTGGTGTGTTCAAGGCGAGGATGGTGCGTTGTGTGGCCCCTTAACAGCCTAGAACTTTGGTGCACGTGCCCTCTAGCGGAAGTCTTCAGCAAGAGGATCGTTCCTGGTGTTAATTTTATTTTATTGAGGCTGTTCAGTTTGGCTTCTCTGTATCTATTGACTGCCCTTTTTGAGCAAAATGAAGGTGTTTTTATAAAGCTTGGATGCCAATGAGAGTTATTTTATGGTAACCACAGTGCAAGGCAACTGTCAGCGCAATGGGGGAGAAGAGGTTAGTGGATTGCGGGTCCCTGGCTCAAGGTCTCTGGGCTGTCCCTAGTAGGCATGAGTGGCCCGGCTGCCTTCCTGGGGTCCCGTGCACCAGCCCTGCAGCTAGAAAGTCTTGTGTTTAGGCTCGTCTGACCTACTTCCTTCAGTTATACTTCCAGTGACCTTTTGTGCATCTGTAAAGGCAAAACAGAGAAACTCACAACCTAATAAATAGCGCTCTTCCCTTCTTTGTGTGCATTGTCGGCCCTTCCTCGGGTTCTCCTCCTCCAGCTGCCTGGGGGCTTTTTAATAAACTCGTCTCACTTCGTCAGCCACTACTGTCTGCAGCCCCTTTGCAAAGTGGATGCACTGAATACAGTCTGGACAGACATTGTGGGGGTCTTTTTATTAAATTGAGAACATTGTTAAATACAATTAAGGTTTACTATGCTGCCTCGGCAGACTTAATGATCTCAACAGTTCATATGAACAGGTGAAAGAATTATAAATAGAATTTCGTTTAAGTGGAACAGACAAAAAAGCCTTTTAGCAAGAGGGCATGCTCACTAGTGGTTAGTAAGCTGTTGACTTTGTACAAAAGTTAAAAATGAAAAAAAGGAAAAATGAAATTGTATATTTAATGAATGAACATGTACAATTTGCCACTGGGAGGAGGTTCCTTTTTGTTGGGTGAGTCTGCAAGTGAATTTCACTGATGTTGATACTCATTGTGTGTAGTTTTATTTCAGTCCCAGCCCCGTTTCCTTTTATTTTGGAGCTAATGCCAGCTGCGTGTCTAGTTTTGAGTGCAGTAAAATAGAATCAGCAAATCACTCTTATTTTTCATCCTTTTCCGGTATTTTTTGGGTTGTTTCTGTGGGAGCAGTGTACACCAACTCTTCCTGTATATTGCCTTTTTGCTGGAAAATGTTGTATGTTGAATAAAATTTTCTATAAAAATTATAATTCAGTGAGTGACGTGGAAGTGGAGGAAGATTTCTACTTTCCTGGAAACGGGCCTGGGAAACCTTGGCATCTGTAACGAGGTTTCACTGAGATGTACTGATGTACTTTTCTATCTAATTCCGTTTTGGGGGGACAAGGTCTTCTTTTATTCTTTCCCCCCCCCCCCCCCCCCCCATCTAGTCACATTTGCTCTTAAAGGTTTTCCAGGAGGGAAGTGTGTACAAGTAAGGTGACTGGAGATGTGGCGTGACATGTCACGAGGCCCCTCCGGGGGCAGCAGGTGCTGTCGTGGGCATGGTCCTCAAACGGTCCCCTTGGCCTTGCTGCCCAGCTCTGTGGCACAGTTTCCTGGTCTCTGGGCCAGTGTGTACTTTGGAGTGACTTCCTTTCTCAACTTCCACTGCAGTGTGTGTGCCTTCTGCTCTGAGAGCTGCCTTGTTACCGGTGTGATAGAAAGCAGGAAGGAAGGGCCCCCAGGGACCTGGCCCTTCCCTCCTTCCTCCCCAAGAAAGAGGAATTAGAGCAGGGGGGTGGGAGCCCTTCGCTGTGGGTTTGTCTTTGAATGAACATTAAGGTGTCTTGTTTTGTTTTTGTTCTGGGCTGGGGGTTGACTGTAGTCTTAGGTAACTGAAAGTTCCTACTCTCCCTTAAGATATTAAATGACTCTTTTTCCAAAGAACGTGTTGTAATGTTTCCGCTGTGTGCCGCGTTCCCCTTTCCACTCACAGTTACAGTGTCAGGAGTTTGAGTTCGTTAAACTGAATTGGGGGAGACAAATTGAAATTTTAAAGAAAAATGAACTCTGCTTCCCTGGTCTCACTGTTGTGTCCTCTCCCTCTACGGGCTGTGGATGCCGTCTGTTGACGGCTTTCTGAGTCCTCCCAGTGGAGGTGGGGGGAGCCTTGAAAACCACTGCAGTCACCTGCAGTCACAGTGGCCCTTCCGCAAGCCCTCTAACACAGGACAGCAAGCTTTGAAGCAGTCTCATTTGAAAGTGAAAAGAGCACCCAGGCACGCTGACTTACATGTGTAATCCCAGCACTTTGGGAGGCTGAGGTGGGAGGATCACCTGAGGTCGGGAGTTCAAGACCAGCCCTGTCATCATGGAGGAAACCCGTCTCTGCTAAAAATACAAAAATTAGCTGAGTGTGGTGGTGCACGCCTCTAGTCCCAGCTACTCAGGTTGAGGCAGGAGAACCCAGGATGCGGAGGTTGCAGTGAGCTGAGGTTGCGCCTCTGCACTCCAGCCTGGCAACAGAGCAAGACTGTCTTCAAATGAGAAGAGCATGTGAAGGTATGGGGTTCAGCATTTTTATCTTTAACAGCATTTTTTTGTGTGCAGGCTGTTATCTTTGCAGCATTAAGGCATCCTGACCTCCCAGCGTCCCTGCTCTCTTGTCTCGAGAACCAGCTTCTCTGAGAGCTTTGAGCCGACCCTCTTGGGGACCAGCGCATCCAGCAGGAAGAGCTGGCATTGTGAAAATAAAAGTGTGATTATATTCAACATGTCTGTGTGTTTTGTACTGGAGGAGCAAAGCCACAAGGTGACACGATGGGATCCTACAGAGTCCTCTGCAATGTGGGTGTCCGTGACAGTGGCAAGAAGCGTATAGACACCATCACTTCCAAATGCAGGCCCTAACCCAGCTTCTGTCTCAAGAGGTGGCAAGGACATTTGGAGTTGTACATAATGTTGCTTATTTGCTGTGAGGCAAATGTTTATGGTGCCAGGGATGGAAATTGTGAGTAGCTTTTATACTAAAGCCTCAAGTCTGAAACCACCTTTACAGTTAGAGCAAATGCAGTCAAAGCTGTAGCACCTGAGCTGGGCGCGGTGGCTCACACCTGTAATCCCAGCAATTTGGGAAGCTGAGATGGGTGGATCACATGAGATCAGGAGTTCATGACCAGCCTGGCTAACATGGTGAAACCCCGTCTCTACTAAAAACACGAAAATTAGCCAGTTGTGGTGGCGCATGCCTGTAGTCCCAGCTATTCAGGAGGCTGAGGCTGGAGAAACGCGTAAACCCGGGAGGCAGAGGTTGCTTTGAGCCGAGATCGTGCTGCTGCACTCCAGTCTGGGCAACGGAGGGAGCGACACTGCATCTCAAAAAAAGCCATAGCAGCTGAAGTTTCCTTGAATTACTAAGGTGAGGTGTAAGACCGTCATCTCTCCTGTGGTTTTAGCTTAAGATGTTGGTATAAGGGTTGGTAAACTTTTTGAGATGGGGTCTCTGTCACCCAAGTTCAACCTCCACCTCCCAGGTTCAAGCACTTCTCCTTTAGCCTCCTGAGTAGCTGGGATTACAAGCGCACACTACCACACCCAGCAAATTTTTGTGTTTTGGTATAGATGGGGTTTTGCATGTTGTCCAGGCTGGTCTTGAAACTCCTGACCTCAAGTGATCCACCCACCTCGGCCTCTCAAAGTGCTGGGATTACAGGCGTGAGCCACCACACTCACCTGGCTCAGGGTCAGTAAACTTTCTATAAAAGGCCTGAGAGTAGATATTGCATGAT